CAGCAGGTTTGGAATAATTGACACACATATATATTTATGAATCAGAAGTTTACCATTTGCTAACTTTCGGATAATCGACATTCTCGCGTGATAAACACCCTCATGGGTATTTCGATCAATTGCCATTGTTAGATTATCTTTCACTACTCACAAAAAGTCTCTTAAGCAAAAGAGAAGAGATCTTGGGTAGGAATGTCTTGTTAATTGATTGTAACTTGCGTCATAACTTACAGCCATTGGTTCATTTAAGTTCTTACATTGACAAAGTTTGTTGTTTGTTGAGGTTCAAAGACAATAGACTTCCCCGATAGATATTCAAGTAGACAAGTCAGAAGCTCTTAATCCAGATATTCAGCCTGAAGCACTTCTCTATGACACCTTTGAACCAATAACATATGTTAAGGAAATTTCCATGTCAGAACGCCACTCCCTAGTTGTGAGTGATCTTGATGACCCACTGTTTATAGATATAAAAAAAATCGAAAAAATTGGTTAAATCAAACTGAACTGGCTATATTTGGTTTGTTTTTAAATATGAATCAATCTGTGCAGTTTTCAAATTTTTTTTTTCCAGTTTCTATTAGGTATCACTTTAGGCACCTTGGTATCGAATTAAACCGAAAACGACTGAAAGTTTCCCATGTTAAACATAATATATATTATATATAATGATATTGGTTGAGTACAAAGTTCACTTGATTCACTTAATTGTTTATTTTTTCTTAAATATTCTAGGTTTGACATTGCTAATATGATAAGTTGTTAGTTTGCTACTCATATGTGCTTTGGTCAAGTTTTGCTACTACTATGCTTACATAGCCATAGTAGATGTTCATGTCAATTTTTATTTTTTATTTTAACTCTACCCGATAGACTTGTGATTAGTCTTATGGGATAATTGTTTTAAACTTTGGTTTTGCTTTGGTGTCAAGGCTTCGATTTTCAGATTATATTTTGTTTCTAATTTTATTTCAATATTTTTATATAAATTATTTACTATCTTACAAATTTAAAAAGTAACTCAAATTTAAGAAGGCTCTAAACCGATTAAACGCACCGAGCTGAACCGTTTGAATTGGTGTGGTTTGGTGCAGTTTAGTGAAAAAAATAGCCTATATCGGTTCTCAATGTAATAGAACCAACATTATTGGTTCAGTGTAAAATTTCACCTAAACACCGACCGTCCCGAATTGATTACATCCCTATCATTGTTAGAATAGGTCTCTAAGCAAGATGTGAATTTTTGTATGGGGTGTTCTAAGTGAATCCAAGCCCCAAGATATTGCAATGTGGGTCTAGACGATATGGAAACTATTGGCAAATTACCTTAACCCCGTGACCATGATCAAGGCAAGCCCAAGAGAGAGTCACAGATTGAAGATAGTATCAACAATCCAAGCCTGTTTCGCCCACCTCGGTGTAGAGCTCTTTGATCCAGATGTTTCAGTCTTGATAGCATCATGTTCTATCATTTTGAATGTCTTTTTTTTATTAAAAAAAAAATTAAAAAAAAAAAACTTTTTTGGAGGGTTTTGCTACAGTGGCTGGTGGTTTTGAATGTGGCTGCTTGATGGGTTTATCTTAATTGCTATGCCTTTTTGGTTGTTGGTGGTTCCTTTGATATATTGGATGTGAACATGTTGTATTGAACTTTGTTCTATCTATATATTTGTCTTTTAATTTTCCTAAAAAAAAAAAAATATTATCTTATATCAAACAATTAAAAATAATCACTCTCATTTTATCTCATGTCCTGAGTATTATAAATTCCTTTTTGATCCCTTGATACATATCTAATTAGACAAGAGCATCTATTTACATACCATATAACATCTCAGTGCACACTATTGCAGGGTACACCACACCACACACAATTTTGATTTACTATTACTTTTTTGGGACAATTACAAAAGAAAAAAAACTCACACACACACAAGATTTGAGTCTTATAACAAAATAAACATTGAGTTTTTAATTTTGTCAATTTAAATTCTAAACTTTTGATTTGTTTTCAATCTAAACCATTTACGTATTTTTTAAAGTAAAATCAATAAAAAATTTAGTATTTTACTCATTAAACTCAAAGAAAAATATATTTTAGACATTTTATGTATACTTACATTGATTTTAATGACTAAAATAATATTTTTTGGGTCAATTTCACTTAACGGAAATATACAAATAGTTTAAATTAATTGATTATAATTTAAATTGATAAAATTAAAAATTAAAAATTTATTTTGTTAAAATGCTAAAACCTTGCCTTTCGTTGTTGGTTGTTGTTGTTGTTGTAATTGTCCTGATTTTCTTTTACAATTCACACCACATATAATTGTTGTTATAATTGTCCTTATTTTCTTTTACAATTCACACCACATAATCCTATAATACCCTTATCATCTAACCTATCTCTAACACTAACCAACCACCACTGACTGCAACCCTTTCCACTACCGATGCTGCCTTTTCTGTCATTCTTTGCCACACTCTCTCTATCCCAACCCCCTCCATTTCCCTACACGCACCACATATAATTGTTGTTATAATTGTCCTTATTTTCTTTTACAATTCACACCACATATAATTGTTGTTATAATTGTCCTTATTTTCTTTTACAATTCACACCACATATAATTGTTGTTATAATTGTCCTTATTTTCTTTTACAATTCACACCACATATAATTGTTGTTATAATTGTCCTTATTTTCTTTTACAATTCACACCACATATAATTGTTGTTATAATTGTCCTTATTTTCTTTTACAATTCACACCACATATAATTGTTGTTATAATTGTCCTTATTTTCTTTTACAATTCACACCACATATAATTGTTGTTATAATTGTCCTTATTTTCTTTTACAATTCACACCACATATAATTGTTGTTATAATTGTCCTTATTTTCTTTTACAATTCACACCACATATAATTGTTGTTATAATTGTCCTTATTTTCTTTTACAATTCACACCACATATAATTGTTGTTATAATTGTCCTTATTTTCTTTTACAATTCACACCACATATAATTGTTGTTATAATTGTCCTTATTTTCTTTTACAATTCACACCACATATAATTGTTGTTGTAATTGTCCTTATTTTCTTTTACAATTCACACCACATATAATTGTTGTTATAATTGTCCTTATTTTCTTTTACAATTCACACCACATAACCCTATAATACCCTTATCATCTAACCTATCTCTAACACTAACCAACCACCACTGACTGCAACCCTTTCCACTGCCGATGCTGCCTTTTCTGTCATTCTTTGCCACCCTCTCTCTATCCCAACCCCCTCCATTTCCCTACGCCACCGTTGTCAAGGAGAATAACACTATACAAATAATTGAAAACATAAAAAAATAGGTAAGTTACACTAACTTGTCCTTAGGTTCGGAAAAACACAGTTAGCCTACACTTTTTGACATAATTACAATCAGTGTGTTTAATTTGAGTTTTCTGAATTAAGTTTTTTGAAAATTGACTTTTTTGATTTTTGTGTTTTTTTTTTAGTGAATATTTTTTAAATTTTAAACATTTTTTTTACTTTTTTAGATGCACCTTACTTAGATGTATCTAAAAAGTAAAAAATTTGTGAAAAAATATTTTAAAAAATTAATAAATATATAAAAATACAAAAAATGTACTGAAGTCTTTTATTTTTTTTTGTATTTTTGATATTTAGTGAATTTTTAAAAGATTTTTTTTACAATTTTTTTACTTTTTAGGTGTATTTGTGTTAGGTGTGTCTAAAAAGTAAAAAAATTACTTAAAATATTAAAAAAATTCAGTAAAAACAAAAAAACACGAAAAATAAAAAAGTAGAATTTTCTGAAAAGTGTTTTTTGAAAAGTAGTAACAAGCAATGATTTTCTTTGACATTTTAATTCACATAGCAATTAAATCATTTTTATCAGTAATTTGTGAATTGTATGAATAAAAAAGAATAATATTGTCATCTATTTTGAACTAAAATGTATAAAATTTTAAATCCCAAATCCTAAATCTTAAATCATAATAATCCTAGACCCTAAACCCTAATAATTTTAATAACCCTAAATCTAAACTCGAAATTCAGGATATCTGTATCATATTCAATGTCAATGCCATACATTTTATCCGAAAAATGATAAAATAGGCTCCTCTGGACCGGACTAATTACAAGGCCCTTTTACTTAGCCCTTCTTACTGTGGCCCACAAAATGACCCATTACCCAGCTCGGCCCAATTTACATATAAATTACCCTCTCAATAATGTATAAAATTTTAAATCCCAAATCCTAAATCTTAAATCATAATAATTGTAATAATCCTAGACCCTAAACCCTAATAATCTTAATAACCCTAAGTCTAAACTCGAAATTCAGGATATCTGTATCATATTCAATGTCAATGTCATACATTTTATCCGAAAAATGATAAAATGTTATATTCAGTTCACACTATTTGTCTGACAAAATCGACAAGATTGTTCATGTCATTTAAAATTTGTAAAGAAAGTAGCTATAATTTCATTAAATTTGTGGAGAGATCGCTTCATGAGAAATTCTATTATGCACACTCCTTGAAAGTAGTATACCATATGTACCCTTAGTTATACCATTTTCTTCTTTACTTATAACCAATTTTTATTTTATTTTTATTTTTATTATGACATTATTTTAGTTAAGACTCATGAAATCTTTGATTTTGACTCATATAGAGTTTGATTAGAAAATATATAATTATGCCGTTTTCTTACTTACTTATAAGATACATATAACACATACTTTTTGCCAATATTTCTGTTGTTTCATATGTTTTTTAAAGAGGAATTATCTTATCTAATTAGGCTGTGTGCCCTTCCAATTCTAATTGTCTTGTCTAATTAAGTTATGTGCCTTTCCAATTCTATCAATTGCTTTATGTAACACATGGAATAAAAAATAATAAGTATGTAACTAATAAAATTATAAGGACATAATAGGTAGGATATGAGATGCACGTATGTAATAATTTTTTTTTTTAGGGTGCAATTTTGTTAAATTTGAGAAGAACACCCCCCATCCCGGCTCCTATTTATTTCCCACCTGTATTTGTTGCCCTAGATCGATCGTTTATCTCTGTCGGCGTTGATCCAACGGTCCTCTCGCTCTAGCCGCCTCTCCCTCCGAGCAACCCTCCCATCGAACCCGTTTGTTGCTCTATATTTCTCTCTGTCGGTGATCCTTTCTCACCAACAATGGTCCTCCCTGTCCCGCTCGAGTCGAAAAATCGCCGCTGGGATTCAAGTCCCAACTAGCACAATCCCTAATTCATCGGCGAGAAGCATCAGTAGATTCAACCACCACTACCACCGCGGTCCTCCTCCTCCATCGTAGCTCTCACAGGTATTCCCTTCTCTCTCTCTCTCTATGCATATATATACACACTGTATTTCTAGTCTAATATATGCTGTGATTTTTGTAATATTTTGTCCCCCTTTCTCTGTAATGTGTATGAAAATATAGATCTTAGATCTTGCTCATATCGATTCCTTTCTTTTGATTCACAATCTTCTCAATCTAATAAATATGTCGCTGATTTGCTCCCCAAGAATTGGCAATTGCTCTGGTTTTTTTGTTCTTCTGTTGCAACTTCCCTTCACTGTTGAACAGTAAGAGAGCCAAGAATAATTAGGGTTTCTCTGTGTGTAAATTATTATTATTATTATTATTTTTTGTTTGATTGTGAATTTGTAATCCTAGGTTCTATTCATGATTATGAATGCGTATTCTATTGATAGATTATATTTCTAGGTTCCTAACACCGGCCATGCTGATGAGGAATAGCAGCGCAACGCTAATTGCCTTTGTGATTAGATTAGATGTTTTGTGGTTGGAGTTGTGCTGGAATATTTTCCTTTCTTTTTCCAGTTGCTTGACTGATTATGATTTGAAACCAAGTTACCCATGCAGAGCTTCATCAATTTTTTTTTTTTTCTTTCTGATATATATATATATATATGAAATATGTGTATATTTATGTACATGTGTATATATATATATATATATATTGGATCACTACATCTACAAAAACATCTCATAAGAAATATTGTCGCTTAGACACCAAATACTAGTGACTGCGAACAAAGGACTAGCATTAAGGAAACATGTATTGTCCATATAGCGATATGCATTATGGTGCTTGATACAGGATAAAGCTAGCACGCCTGTCAATGACTTACGAGAATGACCTAACCGCAATCACTTCTAATGGTCTGACTCTACGCGATTTGAATGATGTCCCACTAACCCTAACTTTGTACTACCCATCATTAAGCACAAACCCAGGAATAACATTAATTATAGTTTTATTTTATTTTATTTTATTTTATCTTAATTATGCCATATATGGTGTCATGATCTACTGTGCTGGAGGGGGTGGCCTAACGGCGGTAGCCAAAAGACAAATTTGTTCCTGTAATTGATTTTGGATTTCTTCAATTTGTTGATTACAGTATTCTACTTGTTGATTAGCTCAATTATCATTCGGAAATATGGTAAGAAACCGGATATAATTATTACGTCAAGAAATATAATAATCTAATATTTCATTTAAAATAACAAGAATATCAACAAAACTCATACATAATAAAAATTTAAAAAGAAATACTTACAAGTATTGTCACTATTCTTTTATTGTTATACTTCAAACGGTAGGGAGGAAATTACACATTGAGAGAGAGAGGGAGAGAGTACAAACTTATAAACTGGAAAATAAAATTGCGTGCCTTCAACAAGGGTGAGGCATCCCTTAAATAGAAAAAGAAAAGCTAATGGATAAGGATGAGCGAGACAAGTGGCGTGTCCTGGTTGGTGGTGGAGTCGATTATCTTATCTCCTCGAAATTCCCTTATCGCCGGTGTCGGCAAAGGCCTGTTGGATGACCAGTTGGTATTACGGTAGACAAGGAATCTACTTTAGCCGAAAGTAGATTTGTCGTGACATGAAGCTGGAAAGTGGTGCTGGATTGTTGGTGGAAAATGCATTATTCCGCTTTTCCTTTTCCTTTCTTGTCTTTTTCTTTGCCTATCTTTTCCGCAATAATTCCTATTAAGGAATCCCAAAATCTCCAAGATTTGGGTCAGCATCTACTGGATCTTGTGATTCGCCTGCCAATACTGTGAATTCATTATCATCCTCATAAAGATCAGTATGGCCTTCATCTTCTGGATCTCCATGACTGGTACCAAATTTCATACTGGTATCATCTCTGGTGAATGACTGAAGAAATTGTTCTTTCATATAGTCCATACTTTTGATGGCTAATTCTTGTTCTGAAAATACTGGATATTTTTGTCGTAATTCATTTTGAATCTGGACAAAAGGATTCTGGACTGTTGGTGCAGCCGGGATAAGCTTGGGAGTAGCATCCCAGCAAGCCTGTATATGACTTTTAATTTTCTGGAGGAGTTCTTGATGAGTTTTTGGATCATCCATTTTATTCAACCATTTATAAAAGAAAACTCTCTTTAGACGGGGAACTTTGTTCTAGAAATCACATTGGAAATCCCATTTCCAAATCCATGGGATACCAAAGCGAATAACAAAATGGACTGTAGATTTAGACATAGAAATGTCCTTATATCTTGGAAGGTCGTATGCAATTTGCCATTCTTTAAATGCATTGCGAATATCTTCTGGAAAGGCATCGATTTGAATACCAAATTTATCCCACCAAACGAGAAACCAATTTGGGAGATCGTTTTGTAAAATGTCAAGAAGAACACGGATAAACCAAGAATGATTTCGTGGGGGATTCATATAATAAAATACTTGGGAAAAAGCATCGATATAATCCCAGTAACTGTAACGAGATTCTTTAGAGCAGATCCCAAGAGTACAGGTAACATGATAATGCATACCACAAGCCGGCATGGGCAATATTTGTTGGATAGTAGCTTTACTGTAATTAATAGGGCTAGCTGTGCGGTTGGGCTCAGCAAAGGTATGTTTGAAATCAATAGAGGCAGTATCAACAAGGATCTGCTCATAAATGTATCTGTACTGATCAAAGTGAGGTAAAGAATGTTGAGTAGTCAAATACCTCCTTTTAATTTCCCATGGATCCTTCATTCATTGAATATCGGAATTTTCAATATAGAGGACGGTCTCCTCAATAATAAAATTCTGGACATAAGGTACTGGAGGAGTAAGGAGGACATCTTTAGCTGTATGGCTAGATTCCCCTTTTTTACTGGAAAAGGCATGTAAGCCTGGAAAGTCTGTATGATAGGGATTGGAACCCCTTCCTCAGCCCCGTCTGCCCGGGCCGCGGCCTCTACTGGACATTGTTTGGACCCTGCAAATATTCGCGGGTTAGAAAGTCAGGAAGAGAATTAGTTTCTCTTTTGATATATTCAATATCAAAATCAAATACTGAAAGTTGGCCCTGCCATAAGGCAAAAATTTGTTTTTGAGTCAGATTTTTAACATCTTTTTTAAAAATCTGTTTGCTGCGGAACAATCAACTCGGATAAAAAAATGTTGGTTTAATAAATCTTCCTGGAATTTTAAGACACATTTAACAATAGCTAAACATTCTTGTTTAATTGTCGGATAATTTTTAGTAGCTTGATGCCAAATACCAGAAGTAAATCTTAAAAGTTCTTCCTTTTTACTGTTGGGATTAAATTGTTTAAGTATGCTACCATAACCAAGATTAGAGGCATCGGTTTCAAAAATTTTCTTCCATTCTGGATGTGGTAAAGAAAGACAAGGTAGAGTTTTTACTCTAGTCTTAATTTTCTGGACAGCTTCTGTATGCTCTGGTCCCCATGGAGGAGGATTTTTTCTAAGTTGGGAATATGAGATTGCTGGATCAGTAGCATGGTTAGGATAGTAATCATGGATATAATTCAAGCTTCCTAAAATCGCTGTAATTGGGTTTTATCTTTAATTTCGTCTGAAAATTTAGATGCAAATTCCATGCTTCTATTAATGGGAATAACAGTACCATTATGGATATTATGACCCAAAAATCAGATTGTGGTTTGAAAAAGTTGCATTTTTGATGCAGAAACTACTAATCCATTTTTAATGATAACATGCTTAAAAATATTAAGATGTTTCATATGCTAGTCAATTGATGAAGAAAAAATTAAAACATCATCAATGTAATAAATGGAAAATTCTGTATAAGGATTGAAGATGTCATTCATAATATGCTGGAATTCAGATGGTGCATTTTTAATCCAAATGGCATAACATTCCATTCAAAATGCCCAAAGGGTACTGGAAAAGCAGTTTTGTATCTATCTTGTTCAGTGATTTGGACTTGCCAATATCTTGATTTCATGTCAAATTTAGAAAATATCACTGCATCCTGGAGGCGATCTAAAAGATCTTTTTTATTAGGAACTGGATACCTTATCCACTGTAAGACTTCCTTCAAAGGTTTGTAATTAATGACCAATCTTTTTTAATCTTGCTTAGCCTCTCAGAAAGAGAATTTACTGAGTCATTGTAGCATAACGATCTTAGTTTAACATTAAACACCTCGTTTAATAATTACCCAAAAAAAAAAACACCTTATTTAAGTTTTCTGAAATCACTTAAGCGTTCAATACTCAAGTCTAAAACGATAAATTTGAATCCCTTTTAATTTTCTTCCTATTTCGCTTTCTTTTCTTTGACTTTCTTGTCTAGCTCTCAAGATGATAGTTTCTCTCCAATTCTCTCCGTGCTTCTCCATCCTTCTCTCTTTCATTCAAGGAACTAATTAGCTTGGGACCCTAATTGTTCCATTAGCTTAAGTGGCCAAGTTGAACTCAAACAAATCTTGCTTAGCCTCAAAGATAGAGAATTTACTAAGTAATTGCAACTTAACGATATTAGTTTAATATAAGCACCGCATTTAAGGTTTTCCAAATTGCTCAAGTGTTCAATTCTCAAGTCCAAAAAGACGAATGTGAATTCCCTATGATTTTTTTTCCTATTGCTCTTTCTTTTCTCTATCTCTTCTATCTCTCAAGACGCTCAAGATAAAGTTTCTCTCCAACTTTCTCTGTGCTTCTCCATCCTTCTCTCTTTCGTTCTAGGAACTAATTAGCTTGGGCCCCTAATTGTTCCATTAGTTTAAGTGGCTAAGTTTAACTCAAACAAATCTTGCTTAGCCTCAAAGATAGAGAATTTACTAAGTAATTGCAACTTAACGATATTAGTTTAATATAAGCACCGTATTTAAGGTTTTCCAAATTGCTCAAGTGTTCAATTCTCAAGTCCAAAAAGACGAATGTGAATTCCTTATGATTTTTTTTCCTATTTCTCTTTCTTTTCTCTAACTATCTCTTCTATCTCTCAAGAAAAAAGTTTCTCTCTAACTTTCTTTGTACTTCTCCGTCCTTCTC